ATCTAGTTTTAATTCCTTTCTGGCATGAGTGTTGTGAGAGATTTGGTTAGACTAGAGTTGTTGAAGATAGTACACCAGGGTATAAAGGGTAGGTTCTACCTCCTTATAATTATTGTATTTTCTGTTTTTTGATATAGAAATACTTACTTAAGAATATAATCTAACTACTGGTTTAATCACAGATATTCTACAAAGTGTAGAAAAAGAAATGGGGTGGATATATTGCCCTGGCTACCACAGTCACCAGACCTGAACTTAATTGAAAATATTTGGGGAGATATGGAAACTTACTTGGGGAAAAGGTATGGAAGAGTTGCAAGCAAGGAAGAGCTAATCAGAGCTGTGGAGAAAGCATGAAAAGTTATTCCTGATGGAAGGTTTATGGATCTTTGCAGAAGTATGCCAAAGCAGATCAGAGAGGTTATTAGAAGAAAAGGGCACCAAACTCATTATTGATTTATGATTTTCTTTTTATTTTACTTTAAGGAAATACTAAGCATTTTTTAATTTTATCGCCTTTGCTTATTTTATTTATTGAATGTGGTTGTGGAAAATGGTAGTACTATATGTTGTTGATATTGTTTCCATACAGGAATTTGTATTGCACGGGTGTCGCATTACTTTCTTCCCCCCCCTTGTACTGAAGTGCGACCTATAAACCTCTGAAAGAGGAAAATGTCCTTCCAATTGTTATCTGGCATTTTCTGAGAGATACTTCTTTTTGCTCTCGAAGAGATATGATATGTCTTTTTAAATCTATAAAACTACTTATCTCCTTTGAAAACTGTAACCAGACTCTACGGAGTACTACGACAGTTAGCCAAACCTATGCCCATACCAGTGTCAAGAGACTGACTTAGTAGGAATAGTGGTAGACAAGAGTCTACAAAGTGGAGATACTGTTGGTTAGGTACTTCAGTTAGACCGGCTATATTATACCAAGAAGTACATAGTTACTAGTAAGGAGTAGTGGTTACCCTACTCAGTATGATAACCCAAGTAGTGAATTTGGGAGTTACTCTGAATTGCTCGATGGTGAGTCTGGGTTCAGTTACTCTACCTTCAAACTAGAGTTAGCCAGCTTTGAGCCATAGATTGCCCTGCTATGGAGCGAAGTTACCCTACCTTGAAAGTAACTTGTTATGCAGGGCATTCAGGGAAATTACTAGATTGTTTGTCACGGGAGACTACAAATGTTGTTCTAATCTCAGGTTGTGCAGATCACATCAGCACAACTAATTGAGCTCTGTGCAAGCTGTAACTTGAAGCTGTGATGGCTAATAATCCCCTTTGGCCCCATTATAAGTTTCTAGCATTATGGGCTACAGCCTGGAGAGTTGCAGTAGGCCTAGTGAAAGTCTATAAGTAGAGACACTGCTGTAACGCTATATACGCTCATGCCATCTGTCTGACTGGAAGCTGTCCAAAGAATATATCATGGGATGGGTGTAAACCAGGAGAATGGTCTCCAGATGGTATTGGGCAAAACTGACCAGAATTGACAGAGTAATACCACTTTGAAATTAGAAGTAGTTTGTAAGGTTACCAGAGGCCTGTTGCCCAGGGTGAC